TGGCAACAATAATGCACCTGAAAAAATAACTATGCAGGTAACTGAGGTACCAATGTCCCAGAACACTTACACAGCCAATTTCTTCCAGAAACAACCAACATAAAATTGATGATTAATGTGTAAATGTGAACATGTGAACACATACTGCCTTAAGTATTCACAAAAATCTTTTTGCGGAACCTCAGAAATGTGCTTTTTTCAAATGAAGATGGAGTCAGATATGTGACACTCCAAGTTTTATGCAGAAAGAAACAATTAAGAAGAGTATCTTTTACAATCCAAACCCCACCACTCGATGCTAACAATGCAAGCTCTAATTGATGAAAGTAAGCCTGCTACGACAGTTATCAGCCTATCTTTTAGTCTTTGATGTGTTTTGCTGGTGGGTGTGGTATGGAGTACTTCATATTACACATAAAAACAGACTAACAGTGGAAAAAGCAGCAGGTTTATTCAATGCTGCAAAAAGGAAACAGGCATTACTGATAGCTTTCTGCCAAAACTGGGAAAATACTTACAGCATTGGTATCTGTTGCTCTACTGATCTTCTCTTCCCACGGTGAAGAAGTGCTCTGTCCCCACCCACAACGACTTAGAAAAATATTGTCAGTCATCACAGCCACAAACAGATCAGCTCCACCCTCTTCTCAAATCAGAAATCTTCCAAATGAAAGCCTATAGTAATACCTAAACACACTGTGACACAGAAAATGAGAAAACAGGCAAGAAATCTATACCTAAAAATTATTTCTACCTCGCCAATCTTTGTAGAATACTTCTATTTATATAGATTCCTTCTTTCTTCATGAATTCTTAAAAGAAGCATGCAAAAAGGATGAAACAAATCTTGTTTAAATAAACGGAGACAGAATTTAAATACATATGAAACATTGAGCCTATGAGCTAAAGTAAAAAAAAAGAATAATCTTAAAAACACCCCTAAGAATGCAAGAATGATATGAATGCAACTGACGTGGGACTACCATTACCAACTCTGGATGAACTGTAGCAGAATCTTGGAAGACCACCCACACCTAAGTGACCACAACAATAAAACTGAGTTAGACTGCCTAGCAGTGACACTAACCTGCAGAGTCACAGCCAATGCCCCCCTCCAATACCTGTTGGACCCCCCCATCAGGTCTGTGTCTGACAGACTGAGTGTGGGAAGCTTGTTCAAGGGGACACCAACTTGCACTCCAGTGCCAAGTATTAGAGATGGAGTGGAAACAGAATAATAGTTTGATAGTAAATACAGTTTTTATTACTTAAAACTAGTAAGATCTACAGCTATAAAAATATACTAGATAATATAACTCAGTGACAGTGGTGTGGGTTTAGATTATCCATATTTCACAGAGATTTTTCACTTAGTGACTTAAACACTAAAACCTTTTGAATCAATTGCATCTGAAGCCTCTCATATACAGGAGAAAGCTGCACTCTGAAGTAACAGCAGCACACTAACACGTGGCTTTGCAGACAAACATGTTCCAGTATCACACCACACATTTACCTCCGTCAGTACTCCAACTCCAAACACTACTGATTCTGCAACAAATAGCCTTCACATCGTAGACACACACTTATTTTTAAAGTAGTACTGTTAGACTATCTCAATATATATTTGAAAAATCTAGTTCAATGCTACTGAACTATTCACTTCACTGATGTTAAAAACGCTGGCAAATACGTAATCTTATCTGACAAGTTTTCCGGCTAAATTATTTTTCAGATAATAAGTTCTGATTAAAACAACTCAAAGATAAAGATTTATGCTGAAGTCACTGTAACTTTGCATTCTCTAAGGGCCACGGAATGACAAAAAAACAGCAACAGTAAGGAAGCATGACAAACCACAAAACTGCAGAACTTCAAAAGTAACTGTTAGTATGGATCCAAGATACGGAGTAGTGGTCACTAGACTCCTAAGCGCTAAGACGTTTTCAGGCTGTCATGGTATAGCACATAATAAGGGTAGGTAACACTGAATGCAATACAGATGGTGAAAGCTTAGCCTAAAAAAAAATATACTGTCAGTAACACAAAGTAACTACCACATCTCCAAAGACAGCGACAAAGATCAGTTCACATTTGTTCATAAAATCTATAGAAAACTATTGACTTGCCACTAAAACTTGCACATTTAGAAAATACATATCCGGTCAATACTAATATGGAATGGAACATCTGTCAAGCTCTAGTCAAGAAACAATTTAGCTTCATTTGACAGAACCAGAAGCATACTTTACTCCTTGGTTTGCAACACTGTAACTGTAGTCCATTTAGTAGCCTGTTAGCCTTTTGTTAAAAAGCAGAGAAAACATCTTAAGTTTAAAAAATATTGATAAAATTCAACATACAGCAAATGAAGTCTCCATACATCTTTGTCAAATTTGCAATTATATACCTCTCATACTTAAAGAGAAGCTTCAAGATCAACTCTTTTATTTGCCCAAGCTTTAGAAGAAATATTTAGAAAAAAATAATACCTTATTAAAGCTCCTGAAAACGCAGTCATGTGAACTGTACTGTACACACCTTTTCCTTTAAGCTGTAAAAAATGTTACACATGATATGTGATGGAAGAAGTGAGATGCAGTGTCATGACTTACATGTTACGTGTATGAGACATTCCATACAAGACATGTATGACATATATGGCACGTTAAATGCTACATGTGACCTGCATGTGACATGTGGTATTTATGCAACATGTGACATGTCATGCGACATCTGACATGACAATGTGATGTGTGACACCTAAGTAATACGTGTGACATGCAATACACGACACGAGACGCATGACAAGACATGGTATGTGACGTGTCCCACATGACCTGTGCATGCAACATATATGTCAGGTTTAAAGTGCATGTCAGATTCAACATGTGGCAAGTTACATGCATGTCAGATTTGAGATGTATGCCCCTTGTGACATGTATATGGGTATAGCTGGTGTATCTGTACATGAGTAATAGATTCGCACCAGTGGACCTCAGTTCTTCTCAAGCAGGGAGGGGAAAGGCTGAGCTCTCAATCAGAGGCTGCTGGTGCTGCTCGTGTTCATGTCTGCCTCTGGTCTGTGTGGCTAGCCATGTATGTATGCATGTATGGTGTGTACGTGCTCTGTGTGCACATACCCATGAGTAATACATCTTCAGCCTCACTGCTGGAATGACACTCTTGCCTCTCTCAGGCTTGTAGAGCCATACATTTTGGAATTACTGAATAGCTGAGGAAAAACAGGGATAGAACACCTATGTGCTTACCATCACTAGCTCAATGCATTCTGCATATGCTGTTACTTAACCAAAAAACCCATCCAGATACAAGAACTGAACCCATGCTGTCATCATCAACTCATTTCTCAAGGATCTAGCTATCAAGCCCAGCACATCATTTTCACAACAGAACCTCTTAAGGAGGTTCTAGATGTTTACTAGATGTTTCAACTTGCTGTCCCATTAATAAAACAGCTGAGGTACGCACAAAAAGTTCAGTTACTTGTACATATGTAAGGCTCCTAGCTTCACTACATAAAACACGTTGGTGATGATGTCTCAGCAGAACTCTAAAGGCCACAGAAAAAAACAGTCCAGAACCATAGAAAACACTAAACCATGGTCATGGAAATTTATTGAAGTTTTAATACCCTTGAAAAAAGGCAATGCTAAGCTCTAGCTTGGAACATGATGGCCACTTTCAGGCATTCTTAGAAAGGAAACATCACATGGAGTAAATATTACATGAGCCACAAAAATACAAACAAAGCATCACCACACTACTCCCCCTAGTTAAAAGATAGTAAGAAAAACAAAACAGCAGAATAGCAAAAATGGCCAAGGACAGAGTAGTAGCAAGTCGGTGAGTTTCAACAACTGAAAAATCAACCAATGATCATCTTGGGTAAAGACTGCATAATCTAGTTACAAAAACAGATTCATGGAAAAAAAATAAATCCAGAGGGTTTTGTTTTAGAATCCTCCTACAATAAGAAGCTGAAACATGACAACGGCACAGAACTGCTACCGATGCATGAAAGCATCACATAACTGAATAGCTTCTCAGACTTGTATGATATAGAAAAACAGAAAAATCAAGCAACATAGTGCAAGAAAGTGCACTATCTAGCTCAAATACACTAGTATTTCACACGACCACACAGAATCCAAGTATTGCACTTAACAACATTCTTCTAAACATTATCAACATCTTATCAGACTCTTACTGCAACTTAAAAGGAATTTCCCTCTCAATAGGCAGCACTTTTCAGATTACTATGTATGCCAACAATGTTGTGAGTACTTGGCAGTACAATCTGTGGGTTGGAGTACAACTGATCCCCAAGCACTTACATCTGATTCTAGGACAGCTTTTGGGGCAGCACTCACATGCTCAAGGAACCTTGTTTCTGGCAACTTCTGTACTACATCCTACAATTTAATTATTTACAGTTTTGATGCCTTTAAAATGCTTTGAATTCACTACCAAAAACAATTATTGTCACCAAACAGTTAAGTAACAGCTTGGTAATTCAAAGTTTCACATTTTTAAGTACTGGGACTACTTTTAACCCTTCTACCACAAACAACATACAGTAAACTACAAGCCACTTGGCAGATCTAAACCAAACAAAAGTTAAAGAGAGTTATAAACAAGGCAGGAGAAAAGAAAAAAATTAATACATAGCCATCTCTGCCACTAATACAAAAAAAACATGTTGGTAAGTAAGTTAGTACGGGTGAGGGAACAGAAATGAGGAGGCAGTCAGGGGCAAAACAACACAGATGTGCAAAGCTGCTAGATACTCCTGCCTATAAGATAACATCAACTTTTGGAACATACTAAACAGTAACAGACAGTTTAATAACTGCATTTAAACTGACAAGAAACAGCTCTGGAATTATTTATCTTGCTGCAAATACAAACCCTACAGTTAAACATTTTACTAATCAGACATCACCCAAACTTGACTTCACATAAAATCTGCCTCACAGTCAGTCGCTGAACTGCTCGATATGTGGAGACTTCACAATCCAGGATCCATAATTATGTCGCTCTAAGTAGCTTTGCAGCAAGTTTTTTGCTTCTTGGTATAATTGAGATTGAAGCTAAAAAAGAGAGAAAGATCTTGAAAAATCTCAAGAATGTTAGATCTCTGTTCTTTACCACTAGGATGTAATAAGAACAAACACAAACCCTGTAGAACACAATACCCATACATCCTATAGTTCCCTCAGTTGCGGAGAGAAAGAATTACAGACTCTGAAAACATGCTCTGAAAACACTCTCCTGCTCTAAAAACACTCTGCTGTGTGAAGCTAAACTAGAAAAAAGTTGCTCCTGGCTATGCAGCCACCTTTGAGACTACCTATTAAGAGACTCCTTATTAAAACTTCACACATGTCCCCATACCAGCTTACCTTAGCTTCACGATATGTTGCAATTTGAAGCAAATCATTCCTTTCTGCTTCCTTTGCAAGCATCCTGAAACGACTGAACATTGCCACCTTGCAAAGGCGACTTGCCATGTTAATGCCACTTCTGAACGGTGAACTGTAGAAAAAATGAAAAAAAGAATAATAAAACTCAGTAACAAAAACAAAAAATAAAAATTACCGGTATATTGGTTTGATGAAGGAGGGAATTTTTTTCTCCTCTTTTGCTTTGTCAATATGATAACATATTCTGCTTCCTCTTTCAATATGCAAAGCTAATGCAAATCAGAAGCTGTGAGAACATAAACAAGCCAACTAAAAATAGTTTTCAAACTGGAATTCATCTGAAAGGGATGATAATTGGTTTTACCTATTGTGAAAACTAGCACATTCACTACAGCAGACAACAAAGACAATTGGAAACCTATGGGATTTCATGCCTTGAAATCTCACTGTAAAATTATAAGATCTCTTTAACTCCATCTAATCTTAAACACATTCAACTAACACAGGACAGAACTTCCTTCATTTGGGTAGTACTGTGGCCTCCATGCATAGATTCTAAAAAATGTATACTGCACTGAACCAGTATAAAACAGCAAGGCTAACCATTATTTCCAACATAAGGAAGAAAAATTCTAACCTTTCAATGGTTTTTCCATTTAATCCATCCACAACCTCCAGTGATGCATCTGACAATGACCAATTCAAACTAAGAGACACCTGTTCAAAGTCTACTTGAATTAGGTGTGCAGCATTCACCAAGTAAGTGTGAGATCTGTTGACCACATAAGGCATGGGAAGCTTTGACGTAAGTCCATCATCAACACGCTGCTTTGTAGCTATATCTAGTCCTCTTACATCCTTGCAATTTCCATTTCCTATTAAACAAATCAAGATCAGTTACAGTTAATTCCACTAAATTGAACAAGACAACACAAAACAACCAACCAAAACAAAACCCTAAGAATTTAAACCCTTCCATTGGTCTACATTAAAATTAATGTTTGTAAAAATCAGTTCCACTATTCACTTCACAGAGTAAGATTTATTTCAGCTTCTCCAAAGGCATTATTATTTTCATTACACGTCTCTTCCTTTTTGGAACAACCATTCATCAACTCTTCACCTACCTTGCAGAAGGCACCATTAAAATAGAAGGTGCAACACTAACTTTGATGTACTGGACTAGAAAATATGCTGGAGTTTGCTCATGTTACTCCATATGCAACAGTACTTCTCACTGCCTACTAAATAAACATATTCTGGTTCATAGCATCTTGAGGAACAAGCATAGAATTTCTATTTAATAGAGGAGAAATAAGTTATAGATTATTATCTTTACTTTGAATACCACTGAAGAGCACTACAGAACTTTTACTTCAAAAGCGCCCAAACTTCCTCAAAAGAACAGGCAGGCATTCACCAATTCTTTCAAGATCTTTTGGAGCACTTCTAAAACCTTGTTCTGTGTTAGGAAAGGAAGAGCTGCTACATCTTCCATGTCTAGTGAACTCAGACATCTGTGTACTAAGTCTCTTAATCCAAATACTGAGAGAAAGAAACACGTGAAAACCTTCAGGATAATGCTCATTAATTTAATTCAGCCACATAAACTAAAGCTACCAAAATGTGTTCTGATAATAGTACAGTCTTCCTGACTGCCACAAAATCCTGAGAATTCACTATTACCTTGGTAGTCCCTGTTCCTCAACAAAACATCTACTTGCATTAACCAATACCCTAGGGTGAAACTGAGTATCATCAGCTAAATATCAGCAATTTTTCCACCTCTGCTTGATTCTACAGCTAAGTGACTTACACTGTCACTTCAATTCAAGTCACCAGATTTGACTGAACTGTTAACATATCATTTGTTTGACTGCATGTTTTCTCAGTATATAAAATTTGATTTTTATAGAACTATGGTGAACTTCTTCAGTTGGTCTAGTACATAGGAAAGGAAGGGCAATCTGCCAAGCTAAAACAAAATCACAGTGCCAAAACAGCGAGCATAATTGAGTCTTACACCCGGGAATTTCAAAGATAGAATGAAACAAAAAAAAAATCCACACGTAGCATCTTTTCCAAAAAATATCGTAACTCTTTAAGGAACCTTTTTGGTTCAGTTCACGTTCTATAAAATGTAATCAAACTGAAATATGAAAGTATATGAAAATAACACTGAAATTCACATTAAGCTTACCTACAAGAATACTGTTGATATACACTGGTTCAATGAAGTGACTCAACAATGCTCCCTGCACACCAACCACTTCCCATTTTGTTAACTTGTCACTAGCTGACATACTGCTGACTGTAGAAGATTTAGGTGGATAGCAAACAGTTAGGTAAATCTTGCCTTCTACAGCAACATGGAGACTCAATTTTTCATTAGCTTCATAAGCAGACACAGATTGTGGACTGAGATACCTGAAGAGAAGAAAATGGATTTCAGTGAGAAAGTATTCTAATCACAGGTTAAAGTGGAACCTAATACTGTTACTGTTTCTCAGAAAACAAATACTTGCACCATGACAGATACTACGTGCAGGCTGTTCATCTTGTGAAAAGCAACTATAAGGTTACCTCCTTTAAAACATTAACTTACATTGCAATTCTTCAAAATATTTAAAACAAGCTGATACAACACATCAGGGAGACAAAACAGTGAAGCAAAACATAGTTCAGTGGATCCACCCAATGGATTACTTGCAAGTAGCTCTCTTCTAAAAACTATCTTTAAATAACTCCATACATAGGTAAATATGCTGTATTAGAGGAAAAGACTTCCTAGAGTTTGTGTCAAGAAAGCTCACATCAAAATTGTCAACAAGAGATAAAGTGCTGAACCTGTGATCCATCAACTATTACAGTTAGCTTACAAACTACACCCAGTCTCACAAGCCACCTTTTAAAAGTAGGCTGACACTGAAAGCCATCTAGAAGCTTTTGCAATTCCAACAGAAGGGGCCTCCTCAGTCAGCACAACAGCAATTAACTGGCTGTGACTTCCAGTTCTCGAGACTGCCTTTCTAACACCTCAAACAGAGCATGAAAGCAGCTAGCTGCCTTGTATATATGAAAATGTTAGGGCTGTATGATGTTCAGAAATGTAATTCTCTTGCACTGCCCTAAGGGACACAAAATAACATTGTTCATAACTTGGTAAACCAGTGACTACTGCTGTTAAATGTAAGAACTATTTAAAAAAAAATGTTATTGAAAAACATAAAAGTAGTTTGAAGTGTAAAGATAAATGTAGGAGTTGAAACATAGGCAATGTGTTTGCCACTGTGAATAAATTAATCTACTATAGAATCGGAAAAAAAACCTGAGGTACTTACACCAGTGGTTTTAACCGAGCAGTTCCTTTTGGAAGTTGATTCATGTAGAGAAAGATAGTTGTATTTGGCTTTAGGATAAGCAACTTTGAGCCTGGTGCTGTGCAAAATATTGATTTCTCTCTCCTTGCTGAATTGTCTTTATAGAACAGCAAAAGATGTCTATAAAAGTACCTAAAAGAAAGTAAATGTGTAAACCACCGCTTTGTTTACCTATACATAGACACTCATATTTAATTCACATGATTTGAAAAGAATCCAGAAGGTATTAACTATAAAATGCAAGTACACTCATATTTACATTTGTAAAACTGAAAAGAACTGACTGCAAAAGCATAGGTAACAGTATACACACATTCTCACCTAAGTAGTGAACGTCTTGCAGTAACAATAGCATGGCTGTCATGCAACACTCTTCCAGAAGTTTGAAAGCACTGACTGTAATTACATTCTCCTGTTCCTAGAGCTACAACTTCATGCTTTCCACCTGAACAGAAAATAATTATTTGTACATGATCACAGTGAGTTAACTTGGCCTGGCTGCCAGGTGCCCACCAAACTGCTCTCACACATCCCCTCATCCCCCAGCAGTCTGAACTCTGTGATCTTAAAGGTCTTTTCCAACCTGTAAGATTTTAACAAAAAGAAAAATTAAAACGCTTGTAGGTCAAGATAAGGATGGAGATGGTTTGCCATTTACTGTAATGTGCAAAACAGACTCAACTTGGGGCAGATTAACTTAATGGCAATAAGAGTAGGATAGTGAAAAACAAAACCAAAACTAAATACATCTTCCCTCTCTACATCTCCTCGCTCCTAGGCTCAACTTCACTCCTGACTCTTCTACCTCCTCTCCTCCCTGCATGTGAGGTACCAGGCTATGGGGAAGCATCAGCTCCTAACACTTTGACTCTGCTGCTCCTTCCTCCTCACATGCATTTCCTGCTCCCACATGGCGTCCCTCCCTCAGGATACAGTCCTTCACCAACCACTCCAGCCTGGGTCCTTTCCACTGGCTGCAGTCCAGTAGAGAATGCTCCAGTGCAGGTACCCCACAGGTTCACAGGTCCTGCTAGAAAATCTGCTCCAGTGTGGGCTTCTCTCCATGGACCACAGCTCCTGCCAGACGTCTGCTCCAGTGTGGGTTCTCCACAGGCTTCATCTCCCTTCAGGGCACATACTGGTCTATACAGCCTTACGCCTCTTTGAGGCAGCACAAGGAAATGCTTATGTAGGTCTTGAGTATTTGCATGACTGCAGCACAATAATGCACCCAACAGAGCTGCCAGAACAGAATATGTCAAGGAAGATTCTGTGCTTCTAAGATTCTGTGATGAGAAGCTACACACATTTTATATATATATAAAACATTTATTTACCAGATCAGAAACATGTTAATCAAGGCTCACTGGGAACACAACCAGCCTAGGTTTTCTGCTCCACCATACAATCAAAACATACTTACCTTTTTCAATGATGAACGCAGCCAGTGAACTGCCACAACCTTGGTACTCAGGATGTTTGGAGGTCAGGCTGTTAAATACTTCTGCAAGTGTTTGTGTTATTTTTTTATATATACACTTTCTTCCTTCTAAATAAAACAATAAAAATCCATAATACGTAAATTTGCAGGGGCAGGGTATGGGGGAGAGGGTAAACAAGACATGATCAGCTACTTGCCAAATAACCAAGCACTACTATCAACATACAGATTCTGAAGGTTATCAGAGTTGAAATGAATAAATAAAGGACGAGATTATGTAAACACTTTGCAGTTTTCCTATATATAGTAATAAATCAGGGACATGGGTCAAGTTTGATCACCTGCTGCACACAGTATTTCAAGAAAAGACAGAAACATAGTTTCTATTTCATCAATTCACCACTGAAATTCAAGCAATTTACTCCATTTGTGTCCACTTCTAGAACAGTCAATTTCCCAGTTTTCAGACAGTAATTTTTACAGCATTCTTCACAGAGAAGATGTTTAAAATAACATTAACTTCACTGAGATCAGTAAATTTATTGAAAAAAGCATTTTAAAAAAAGAAAAACTGAAAGCATTTGCCGGGTAATTTGAATCAACAGAGAAAAATGACTATTCCTTACCAAAATGGCACCTTGAAACAGGAACAGATTTTGCTGCAATTTGGGGCTCAGCAGTAGTAGAACAGAGATGACCTAAGAATTTAACCACATTTTAAGCTGGGATGAACATTCCAAATTTCAAAACACTCAAAATCTCACGATTTCTAGCAGGTTAAAGTTCCTAATAGCCTGAGAATTTTCCTTTCTGATTTTTAACTCCCTGTAAGCTAGTAAACTATTTAAGTAGCAACCCTTAAAAGAAAACTAACATTACAATGACTTCTTTTGAAAGTAGTAATTCAGCATTGAAGCCTTTTAATCATAAAAATTTGAAACCACTTAGGATCAACTTCATACTGCTGTTATGTAGTAAGCAGCAAATCAAGTGCAGTAACAACATATAAATTAGTACCATCAGTATTCTCTGCTCTGTGCTACAAACTGATGCAGCTCCTAATATCCAGAGACAACTTCAGAATCAACAAATAGCTCTGCCCAAAGGACTGAAAAAACCAAACCCTGACAGATGCTACAGAGATTTTTTGTATAGGAAACCTCTAAGCCAAGATTTTCAATTCCTGATTAGATGTTACTAAAATATTTACCTGACTTTTCAGAAGCATTTGTCCCTGTGTACTCCAAGTCCAGCAGCTCATCAAGAGCTAATTTAGCTGCATTTATTTTAGACTGCTTCTTGCTTACTCCCAGTCCAGTCTTGAAGCGAACACCATCCACCACAGCACAAAAGGCAAAATAAGACCCTGCGATGATATCACCTTTAAAGGACAGAAAAAAGAAGACACAATTAGTAAAATTATTTCAAGGTACTTTTAGGAGTAGCTTTAAGTGCTCACATTCATTCCAAGGACAAGTACAAGACAAAAAGACAATTTGATCACAATACAACTCAACCGTTTCACCTCTACAAGAATTTTGGCTGCTTTCACTCTATGCACTTTCCACAAAGCTCTAAGATCACCCAAAAATTTATACAACTCACGTGATCAAATTCTGTAGTAATTTATTATGAGACACAGCTGTGTAAACAATAAAAGTGGCCAAAAAGCAACATATAGGGAGGGTAGTGCAATCAACAATAAAATAAATCAATCTCTGTTAGTGCCGTCAATACTAACTGCAGAAATTCCTATCATCTCAAGGATAATCAAACATTATTTAATTCAAGAAAAGCATAAGTATTTACCTGCCACAGCAGTTTCTTTCAGTTCAAGGTGTACATGGTGCATTTGTGCAAACTGATGCAAGGCAAATACTGGGTTTATGACTCCCTCTTTATATTTTGCAATCAACTTCTCTAGACCTTTGTTTGGACTACCTGATGGAATTGGGGGTGCACAGGCTGCTTTCTGAAGAAAAGGTTCTTAAACAAAAACAAGAAAATAACAACACACTGATAGTTTGTTTACAGTAAATGCTTCTAGATGCTTCTCAGAAAAACCCCAAAACAAAAACAATTACTCTAGAGCAGTAATGCTTTGCACTGAAACATACATTAATGATACTAGGAATTCTGAAATGTTGTGTACCTCCTCTTTTAAAAACAACAAAGCTTTTAAGTACTAAATCCACAGAACTATGAAGCCATGGACCTCCCTAGCACTGTAAGTTTTAGTGACCATACACACCTCCGACCGAGGTGGCCAGGACAAAGTACCTACCGGAACAGCTGCAATCCCCCCCACCATTAACCACACCTGAAACCAGGACACCACTTGACCAACTTGCTTCACGTTTCACCTGTCCTACCACAGAGGCCTTATGCTCTTCAGAAGACAGTGTGAAGCACAGTTAAGTCATAAGAAACTTCTAGAAATTCTGAGAAGTAGACCTAAGGCAAACCCCTGCTTCCGAGTTTCATTCCAAACACAAACAGTTCCTAGGAGAACCCTTATGTCTGGACAGTTGTCTTTGACTTGCAGCTTTTGTATAGAATAACCAATTAACATTCCCTACGTCATCCACCTCTGTGAAAGATCAGCGTGTTGTTTTAGATTTAAGAGAAAAAATGACATCTTTTTTGCCTGCATCAACTCTAGAACAGACTAAATATCCAGCTTTGGGGTTGCCATATACTCAGGCACAAGTATCTCCCAGTCAAGAAGAACTAAATAAACTCTTAATGCCAAATCACATAAAAAGTTGCCTTCACAGCAATACAACTAATTGAAGAGACAGAATTCAAAATGCATTCTGAAGCATCTGTAACTGCAGTTAAACCTTTCCCTCAGTGATCTCTATGAACATTCGCGCAGCAGTATATACCCAGTATTTTAGCAACTTCTACAGTATTTTTCATGTGTAACTTGGGACTTACAATCTTTAAACGCTGCAGACAATATAGCCCACCCCGCAACAAATCTCTAAAAAACTTTCAGTGAGAACAGACCTAGGCAGGAGGGCAAGTTCAAGAAGATGCTAAGAAGTAATTAAAAAAAGATACAGCAGTAAGAAAAGCAGCAGAGGGCTGCAACCTCCCAAGTAAGAGAAAATCAGTTATTTTCACCAGCATTAACACTATCATAGCTTATCCCAAGACATAAACTGGAAACTATACCTGGGTGTTGAATCACCTCTGGTACAAGGCCTCGCTGGGAAGATTTGGGCCTCAGGGCCACAGCCCGGGACGGGTTCTGGGACGGCCCCAGAGCCGGCACCGGCTGCTTCTGCAGGGGGTCAAAACCGGGTGTTTCCGCACTCTGAGACTCGCCGTCGCTGCTAATCATTTTTAACCGACCTAAGTTTACAGCGAAGCGATGATAAAGGCACGTCAGACACCCGCTGGTTAAGCCGCTCCACAGGAGCGCTACGAACAACCCTCACCCCGCTTCCCTACAACCTTGTTGCGACGGAACGAAAAGGCCTGGCGTCCTCCCAGTCCCTCCCCTTCATCTACCTCATCCCTCCCGAACCTCAAGGATGAGCTGGAGCTAAATGATTCGGTGGTACCCGCTCTCCTCGCCTACCTGAGCGCGGAGAAAACCCGCACCAGGGTGCGCGGCCGCGCTACCCC